TGCGACCCAGAGGATCTATTGTGACTCCCTCCATAGCTATAGAGCTTTATCCAGGTTCGTCTCTCTAACCAGACTCCCCAACTTCGATAATGACTCCCTCGTATAGCTCTCTGCCTCTGGTTTGGTATCGCCCAGCAGATGGAAGCGCACTCTCGCTAGGCCTTCGCAGTGGCACAGTACATGTGCGGCTGTTTCCTCCTCTTCCTGACAGAATCTACATTCTGTGTTTTCTTCCACTTCCATCAGGCTTAGATGCCTCTTAAGCCTGCAGTGGCCCTTCAGCAGACCTACCATTATTCTTACGGCTTTCCTATTGTAGCTTAGTAGGTCCGCTGTAAAATTGGCCGATGGGCCCCTTAGGAATTCCTTGACCTTTCTTTGCCACGGCATGTCCCTCCACCATCGTCGGGATTGTCCGTCCATCCAATCCATGATGGCTGTTTTTGCAACGGGTTTGGCCACCCCACAAAAGGGTTCTAGTCCAATCAGGCGCATTGATGACCCCTCGCGGGCTGCGTCGTCTGCGCCTTCATTACCTTTATGCCCTCCGTGCCCCGGTACCCATGATAGAGTAACTTTGTTCTGGCATGGTATCTCGTTTAATGCCTTATGGCAGTCCAGAACTAACTTGGATGTTATTTTATTAGATTGCAGGGCCTTTATAGCCGCTTGACTATCGGTGTAAATTGCAATTGATTTGTTACGGATGTTCCTCGCTTTTATTTCTCTTGCACAGTGTTCTAGTGCAGAGATCTCTGCTTGGAACACTGTTGCTAGCTTACCCATTGGAATAGAGATTTTCCTTTTCGTCCTGGGTTCATATATTCCGGCTCCTACAAAAGGAATACGTCTGTATTACTTATGCACAAAATCTAAGGCATGCAGTTATTCAGTAACAGTAATTCCTTTGAAATAGGAATCCAGTTCATTGTGGGCCCGACATTTTAACTGATTTATCTAAGGTATTTTAATTTCGTTTCAAATGTTGCGATTAAAAATATTACTCTATAAAAAATACACCTGTCGTTTATTTACTCGCAGAACTTGTATTTTTAAATGAAAAATATCTAACAGTGTTGCCATACTTTTCGCATCATTAGTTTTCTCTTTTTTTTTAAAAGACATGCGCAGATGGTGCAGCTTCAAATCTATCGATGTTTCCTAAGCGGTTTTGACCATCTAGATCGCCACTCAGGCAGACGGCGTCTTAAGAAAATGTTCCTTTATATATTATCTATTAATGTAGTGTACATTTTATCAATAAAATCGAGAGGGCTCTATAGTTCTAACATTTGTCCCACACTGCATATTTGTTTCTGTTTCATCTTCCTTATACTATTTCCTTATTTAGTTGACAATTGTCTCTTTCAGATTGATCGAGAGTCTTTATTATTTTGCGGGGTAGTACTTGTCTTGCTATTTTGCTGATGTAGTGATCTCAGGATTCAGCGTGAACCTGGCTTGTTACTGTTTTTTGTTTTTTTGTTTTCGTGGTTTTCTCTTATTGACTCTCTCGTTTTATTACTGTCTCCATTCCTCATCCCATAAATATCTGCGTACAGCTGACAAAACCCGAAGCGGCAACGTCTTCAAGAATACTGAAATATGCCGCATTTTACGCATAATGCACGCTCATTCCGCACCAGATACATCTTCGCATTTATCTTCATAACGTTTGCCGGTCATAAGGGTTTATACTGTTTGCATACTAAAGCGTTACAAATTAGAGGCTCTCCGGATGCGCCATATTTCATTGCATTCGTCCAGCCCTAAGCCTCGGTTCGCATAAAATGATTTGTTACGAGATAAATCAACATTATACGAACTTTGTTCCGCCTCGTACAGCTGGACGAATTAAGAAGCTCGGTTCGACGAAATCGGTGTCGGAAATGGGGTACATTTCGACAATACTAGTTAATTATATTCGTTTTATACAAATTGCCAGTTACAACTCGTTATATCCATTAATTTCTTACATATTAAGTTCGTTTCAACTAGTTAATATTGCTCAATAACCTTTTTTTTGGTTCCCCTTGCAGTTGTGGGATTTCGAACGCATCCACATTCGACTGTTCCTTACATGGATGATTCGATTATTTCGCTTTGTTTCTCTAAACGCTTTGATGTGGCGCATGTGCAGCGAATTATTGATGCATCTTACGAGGGGAGATTTTTACGCCGTAACTTTGTTTACGCATAATTTTGAACCTGGGTTTCAAACTCGTCTTTCATGTCTCTGTCATGACAATTTGAGCAAATTCTAAGCAGATTTGCCTTAGCCAAAAAATTAAAATTAAAACAGGTTTCACGAATATTGGAAGTGGATTTTTCATATAAATATAAATATTCAATTTCACCCGATACTGATGACTCGGATATTGGAAATTCTTCAGTTTAATAAAACTGAACATATCAGTAAATTCTTCTTTATACAAGGTATCCAAAGAGTTATTTATTTTCGAAAAAAACGTTAAATGCAAAAATTATAGATAAGACTAAAAGAAACAATTTAACATTATTTTCATAAATATGTGAGAAACCAAACTTATATATTTTTAAATAAGCATATTATTGCATTAATAGATACTCCCTTTGTATTCAATCATCCAATGTAGGGTTAGTTAGTTAGGAATCAAAATATGAAAATATGAATTGTCCATGAATAATTACATATTTCCATGATGTAATTATTCGTGTTAATGCTCTTTTAACTGTATTTAGCATTCTATATTATCTAAATTTAGTTTAGTTTTTTGAGTTATACACATTTTTTCAAAAATAACTCCGATAAGTTGTCAGATTATGAGGAGACGTTATAATAAAATTGTTGCCATAATAAAATTAAAGATGGCGGAAACTGTGTCAAAAATATTGGGTATTAAACACACCACAAAATTGTCACAAATCCGAAAACGCTATAGTATAGACGATAACAGCCCTACATTGAGCGATTGAGTATAAAAAGGAGTATCTATTAATGCCATAATATACAGGCTGTTCCATTTAAAAATATATAATGTTGATTTCCCACATATTTATGAATGACCGTGTATATTTTTAAATAATTTTAACTTGTTCTTTTGATCCCTTCTATAACTTTGGATTTAACACTTTTCGCGAAATCAAATAATAAACGAGATAAAGATATCTCGTTTATTCTAAGTAAGTAAAAATTTTGACACGCTATTTGACTATTAATTTAATATTAAAAAATATTACTTTCATATATAATATATATAATATCACTTGATATCACACTATATATATAATATATATAGTATCACTTTAAATATCTGGGTGCAAAAATAACGAGTAACATAATCCTTCTCAACGAAGTAAGAGAGCAAACAAATAGCGGGATGTGTGAAAGAAATTGTATGGAAGAACAAAAACTTTAATATGGAGAGCAAAATCAAGATATATAAAACGGCTATAAGACCCATTATAACATACGCAGCAGAAACAAGAGTAGATACAAACAGAACTGTTCAAATGATGAGAACAGTTGAAACGAAAATATTAAGAACTATACGGGGTAAAACTTTGCATGACAGAATAAGGAATGAGGACATCAGACAGCACTGCGGAATACAAAACACAGCAAGGTTTGTGAGGCAAAGACGAAGATTTTGGGACAAACACTTAACAGTAGCCTATTAATATTATGGTATCCATGTTAGAAAGAGGAAGAAGGAGAAGAAGACTTTTACTCACTAATAATTTCCAGTGAATATTGAAAAAGAAAGAAGACTTTTAAAAATTAAAAAAAACATCTTATTGTATTCTCCCTTATTATTACTAATGAAAATCCAAAATAAAGAAAATTTTGTTGGACATAATCGTAATAAAATCAAATTTTATTTAATTAACTAATTATTACATTAATTAATAATTATTATAAAAGACAAAATTTTCAAGTAGATATTCTACGTGACCACCATTCACTTCTATACATTTTGTAATTGGTTGAAGGATGTTTTATTATAAGAAAACATTTTTTTTGTTTATTAACTACTTTTTAATAGATTTTTTGCGAACCGCTGATTTAATATGTCACCAAAATAAAAAAAATCCATTGGATTATAATTTAAGGGGCGGACTTCTTTTGTCCATCCAATGGGGAAAGTTTGAATTAAGATAAGTTCTTACCAAATGAGATTGTGCTCAGTCAAAGGTATCATGTCATTTCTTTTAGCCACAATCTTTAAAGTGGTGTGGTAAAAAATGTAAGTATGTATATCAAAATGCATCAAAATTATCGGGCCTGCATACCCTGAATTTCGCAGACGATCAGATTATCAGACTACAGATATAGAATACGTGACTCGAAAGCTAATTGAAGAGTACAAAAAATGGGGCCTAGAACTGGACATCTTAAAGACGAAGTACATGGGTATCGGAGGAATACAAGAACTTGCTCTAGAAGGGTCATCAAATCTTGCCAAAGCTAAAAATACTTGGCAATAAATATATCAGTCAGTGGAACCCTAGACTGCACAATCAGAGAGAGAAAGAGAGAGGACTGGAGGAAGTCCCGTGGAATGACATGGGGGAATGGAGATTGAAAATCGGACGACGTCGACGGACGTTTTAAAACCAATATCTATATATATTATCGGGAAATTCAAATGGTTGAATTGAATTTTCTAATTCCCACGAATGTCTATTGGGAAAATTGAAATTGCCTCCTCTACGGAGGCGGAGGCAAAAGTAGCCTAGCCAGTAAATAATATTTTTTTAACAAACAAAAAAAAATATTGCTTGCAGATCAGTAAGCAGCAAATGCTGGACTTGGGTGAAATTTAAAAGCTTAGATCAGTGAATAAAGATTTCGGTGAATTTAGATATCGGAATCAATAATAATTCCTAGATTTTGTTGATGTGGGTCAATGTTCTATCCGTTGTGACGTTTTCCTACTCCCTGAAGATTAAGAGAAAGGAAAGAATCTATTGACTTGCAAAGTTAAAGTGCAACAGCTCAATTTTTTTCGCTGTTTCAGGTAGCAGAGAAATGGCTTTCGCGCATGCTCTGGCTGCCGCGGGGGTGGTCTATTCCATCTCTAGGGCATGCCGTGACGGCCAGATTACGAGTTGCGGATGTTCGAGGATGCGGAGGCCCAAAGATCTGCGCAAGGACTGGGTATGGGGAGGATGTGGGGACAATTTGGAGTACGGCTACAAGTAAGTATATCATGTTAATTAGTCTAGAAATTTTTTTAAACGAAATTGAAAACACCAGGTAACTCGATAACGAAACAAACCAAACAAACTCAAATTTTATCAATGGAAATGGAATATCTATTCCTCATAAATGACAGGTAATTTTTACAGCCTCTGTTTAAAACGAAAGTATCACAAGAATTTATTTACTTATATAAAAGTATTCTAATTGGACAAACTTCAAAAAGTATCGAAATTATGTTTGGAAAAATTGATATTTTTGAAAGTGATATAAAAGTAATAGTTACTGCTAGAATTTAGATGTAGGAAAATCACGTCTCTAATTATACTAAGTATAAATGTTTGTCTCAAAAAGCGAGAATTAATTAACACAAGTAAATATCATTTAATATCGTGGTAATGGTACCTTTTTAAAATTATATTATAGTAAAATTTTCTTCAATAACATAATACGCAGAACAAAACATATCGTGAAAGTATAGCATATGGCGCAGAGTTGTAGAAACTTACCTACCGTCGACAAGAACGTCGTCTATTAGCTATAGGAATGGATTTCTGGTGAAGAAGTTGACCTCCAAGATGGAGGCTGGGAAAAGAGAGGCGGCGATAACAGTGAAAGACGTTGCTAGATGCATTTGAGAAAACAATCGCATTAAAAGTTTAAGATGGCTGTTAAGCCCACTGCAGTACGGGACTGTTACAAAGGAAATGAACGAACGAATGAAAGTTCTTCTTTCAATAGGGTTTCCCATATGGTATCTCCTGTTTGTCCTCTCCTGATGAGGATGTCCAGCATTCATTCCACCTCTTGGGAGGTCGTCGTCAGGATCTTCTTCCAACAATCTGTCGTTCATTTTCTTTAAGTGTTTATCCCAGAATGTTTTTTTTTAATTCTAACCGATTTTGTTACATTTTGTTTTCCACTTTGTTTTACCAATTGCATGGTCTTTAGTCTGATCTGTCTCTGCGGCATATGTTAATGTAGGTCGAACTTCCCTTCTATACAGGGTGTTTCAAAACGAATGGCGCATACAATACCAGCATATTCTTTGTATCAAAATATTTCAATTAGTCAAATAATCCTTTGGCCTAAAATCAAAACTAACGGAGATAGAAAAGTTATTTTATTTTTTCGTTTTTTATTACTTACATTCACAATTTTTAAAATGCAGGGTGCGGCAAAATTATAGGTACTATATGGGATGTTAATAAAAACCAAACTACATAAAGCAAAGATTTTTTAAAAATTATTTTTGACATGCACATTTTATGCCATTTAGGAACGTTATGTTTAAAAATGATGTCTTTTAAATGAACACCATTATTGTCGATGCACTCTTGTAGGTTCTCGCGGAAGCGCACATTACCCGATGGATCATTCCTTGGGGAATTGAGGCAATTTCTTGTCTTATGGCTGCCTTTAATTCTTCCAAAGTCCGCGGACGATGTGTGAAAACTCTCGCTTTCAGGTAACCCCAAAGAAAAAAGTCGCAACGCGACAAATCAGGCGAACGTGGCGGTCAGCCGAGATCACCCCGTAAAGACACACAGATTCAGTTAACGACGCGTTGTGTGCGATGTAGCACTATCCTGCTGGAACCAAAGATGTTCTCTTTGATCGTTGTTCAACTCGTTCACCTTTGAACGCAGGAAATTGTTAAGCATATCAAAATATCGATCTCCGTTGACTGTTACCGTTATTCAAACTTCTTCGTAAAAGTAAGGACTCCACACGCCGAACTCTGAGATTGCACACCAGAGGGTGACTTTTGGACTGTGAAGAGGTCGGTCATGAAGTTCCTGTGGACTATATATACAGTGCCTCTGGGAATGTTTTGAAGAATATCCCGGCATAAATTTGTACGGGTTTCAAAATCTCTTGCCCTTAATTCCTGCACTACCATCATTTTGTATGGATGCATTTGCAGTGTAAAATTCTTCGAACACTTCTATCGGGTATTCCCAAAGCAGCTGCATGCTTACGAGCAAAGCGCCTTGGAGACTGTTGTACGGAAACTCTGACTGCATTCACATTTTCCGGTGTTCTTGGTCGGCCAGTAGATTTTCGGTTACGCGTAGAACATGTTTCCCTGAAGTGTAAAACCCACCGACGAATTGTTTTTCCATCCGGAACCGCGAAATGCCGACCAACATCAAACTGATTACGAAAGGCGCGCTGCGTCGCTATTACAGATTCCCGATTTCTAATAAACTCCGTCCCTTCAAAATCCGAAACGCAAGCCCAACAATCGAATAGCTCTGTTAGTCATAAAATCAATGTGATATGTAAATGTGAGCGATATATATATATATATATATATATATATATATATATATATATATATATATATATATATATATATATATATATATATATATATATATATATATATATATATATATATATATATATATATATATATATATATATATATATATATATATATAATGATGACACTATATTCCGGGATATCATCCGTTCGCTCGTTGAACTCCGACTGGAATCCTGCATCCGACTGGAATCCTGCAGACGTTTCGCCAAAATCTCACTTGGCATCTTCAATGCTCGCGCTCCGAAAACACTTCGAACACTGGGAGGTTATCGGCGGTGCGTGTGGTATTTATACTCTGCGCCGGAGATGGTAACGGTGCTGCTTGTGCGTGGGGGGTGGTGGCTCCGCCCCCTGAATTGTCGCGTTGTTAATTTCGCCCGATCGTAGTTGCGATGTCCCCGTTGGCTGCTGCGCATCGCTCTGCTGTTTGATTATCGTTCTCCACGTGTTGGATAAATGCAGAGCGTCGTCTCTCGTATTGAGGTGTCCGGACTTTTCTATTTCGATGGCCTCTCGTATAATCCTAGTCCTAAAATCAGGAATATTAGCTATTTGTTTGCAAGTGCCGAAATCAATTTTATGGCCTGTCTGATGTTGGTGCTGAAACAAAGCAGATGTTGTTTGTTTGTTTCTTATGGCTAAACGATGTTCCTCGAGCCTGGCTGAAATCCTTCTGTTGGTCTGTCCCACATACGTCAGGCTGCACGATCCGCATGCTACACTGTATACTCCTTGGTTTTCCAGAGTAATTTTTTGTTTTGGGTTTCTTAGTATTGCTCCGATGGTATGGTCAGGTTTGTATGCCGTTGATATGTCGTGTTTCCGTAATATTCGGCCGATTTTGTCAGTAACCCCCTTGATGTATGGCAGGACAGCGATCGATCTTCGTTGGGTCTCATCCTGCACTCTCTGCTGCGACTGTTGTTGTTTATTGATTGCCTTGTTGATGGTGCGCCTTTGGTATCCGTTTTGTTGAAGACAGGTACTAATTTTCTTCAGTTCTTTATCTCTGTTCCTCTCGTTTGTGAGCCTGAAGGACCGAGCAATTAATGTATTTGCCTGCCACTGCCTGTATCTGTGATGGGTGGTGATGAGATTTAGCGTTCAGATATCTATTAGTGTGTGTTGGTTTTCTATAGACAGTGTGTTCCAAGTGTCCATCTTCGGTCCTTGTGATGTGCACATCTAAAAAGGGCAGACTGTTATCCTCTTCAAGTTCTATTGTAAATTGAATCCTTGGGTGAATGGAATTCAGATGATCTAGGAATTTCAAAAGCTCCTCCTTGCCAAAAGGCCATACAACAAATACGTCATCAACGTATCTTGTCCATAGTTTTGGCTTCAGATTTGCCTTCTCTATTGCTTTCTTTTCGAAGTAAATCATGAAGAGGTTGGCAATCACAGGTGAGAGAGATGATCCCATTGCTGCTCCATCTATTTGTCGGTAAATTTTCCCGTTGTGCATAAAGTAAGCGTTTTTCAGGCAATGTCTTGACAGATCCATTATGTATGGCGGAAGATCTTCGTTTTCTTCTATAAGCAAGAGTGCCTCTTCTACTGGAATACTCGGGTAGAGGGATTTGACATCGAAACTTGCCATAATGTCGTCCTTGTCCATCCTGAGAGAACCTAAAATCTGAGTGAAATGTTCTGAGTTTTTAACATAGGAATCTGCCTTTTCCACTATAGGCTGAAGTGCACTGGCCAGATGTTTTTCCAGCTTGCATAATGGTGAGTTAAAGGCGCTTACGATTGGACGCAGGGGAACCCCGTCCTTATGGATCTTTGGGAGCCCGTAGAATTTTGGGCAACGACTCGATTTTTCCCTCGGAATAAGTTTCTTCTTTGCATCCTCGTTTATTGATGAATCGAGAATTTTGGACTTAGTTGTTTTCTCCAAATATGTCGTGGGATCTGCCGTTGATATGTCGTGTTTCCGTAATATTCGGCCGATTTTGTCAGTAACCCCCTTGATGTATGGCAGGACAGCGATCGATCTTCGTTGGGTCTCATCCTGCACTCTCTGCTGCGGCTGTTGTTGTTTATTGATTGCCTTGTTGATGGTGCGCCTTTGGTATCCGTTTTGTTGAAGACAGGTACTAATTTTCTTCAGTTCTTTATCTCTGTTCCTCTCGTTTGTGAGCCTGAAGGACCGAGCAATTAATGTATTTGCCTGCCACTGCCTGTATCTGTGATGGGTGGTGATGAGATTTAGCGTTCAGATATCTATTAGTGTGTGTTGGTTTTCTATAGACAGTGTGTTCCAAGTGTCCATCTTCGGTCCTTGTGATGTGCACATCTAAAAAGGGCAGACTGTTATCCTCTTCAAGTTCTATTGTACATTGAATCCTTGGGTGAATGGAATTCAGATGATCTAGGAATTTCAAAAGCTCCTCCTTGCCAAAAGGCCATACAACAAATACGTCATCAACGTATCTTGTCCATAGTTTTGGCTTCAGATTTGCCTTCTCTATTGCTTTCTTTTCGAAGTAAATCATATATATATAATATATATATATATATATATATATATATATATATATATATATATATATATATATATATATATATATATATATATATATATATATATATATATAGACAGTTAAAAATCTTGGATTTTGGTTCGATTTGGAGCTCACATTTACATATCACATTGATTTTATG